ACAATCAGTTTACACACTGCCTGTGTGAGCACATTTGCGGTTTTGTTTGGGAAATAAATGTGATGCCAAGATTTCGCAAGCATATTTAGTTCTCAATGTTTTCAGTAAATTGATATTAATATGTGCTCTAACAAAGATCCTTGATTGAAATGTGACTATATAAAGATTATTTTGAATTATCTCCAGTTGTGATAGAACTCACCTTGTTACCAAACTCATACAGTTTTGATATACCATATCTCCATACTAACCCTGTATACCTATGACAATGCTCATATCATTGCTATAAATGTAAAGCCATAATAAAGATCATGGCATTACAAAAACATGGATATAATTCATACTTTCTAACCCTTTCAAATCATGATAGATGTTAGGGCTGAACATTTCAACATGCACACTAGCCATTAGTAAGTGAAAATTCCGCATGGCAAGTAGAAATTCACCTCCTTATGAGTATACCATGGATCCTCCAGACTTGGAGTGGGTAGTATTTGCTTGGGACTTGACATTTTATTAATGATAAAGTTCATGTCTTTTTTGAGCCATGGATAAAATTAATTCTCTGAGCACTATTCAGAACAAATCCTAGACTAAAAGGAAATCTATACAGTGAGCATATTATTTATGTGTATCAAAATCTGTCCATTTTGGTAAAAACAAGGGCAAGAGTCAAAGATCAGAAACATAGAAACATAGAATGTGATGGCAGATAAGAACCATTCGGCCCATCTAGTCTGCCCAATTTTCTAAATACTTTCATTAGTCCCCAGTAGCTTGAGAGATTTGAAAATAAGTATGTCCAGTCTTTACTGTCCCTTTAAGTGGTAAATTAACACATATACTGGGCTTTACAAGCAAGGGTTGGCTGCATATGAAGCCTAACACTATTTTGTTTGATACAAGCTTCATACTGCCAACTTAAAATTTATACAGATTTCCTTTGAATCTCCTTTGGCTTGACATATGCAAGGTGTTACAAACCTTTTGAACAGAAAAGAGCTAATGTAAATCATAAATGATTGCTGGACAGTTTTCTGCTTGTTCTGGCTAGAACTGATAGTACTATTTACAAAATTGTTCAGTAATGGTACTTGGAAATATCTGGAAGCCATTTTATGATATATTTGTAGAAACATTTAATTAGTGCACTTTTGCCAATATTATTGTTAACATTTTTCATTGGAAAAGCTGTTGCAGAGAATCCCTAGAAGTTGGGATTTGCTGGAACATCTGCATGCACATCTAAATTCCTGTAATCCTTCCTTTTAAATGTGAGAATGATGAAGGATTGTAATGTAATAGACACCAGGGATATTCCATGCCATCATCAACATATTCTGGCACTGAAAATCAACCTTATGGTTGATCACCAGGTGGAATGTGTAAACTATCTGGTGCCAAATACTAGTATTTCTTGCCTAGTTGCAACTTGTGATGTGTCTGGCACATCATGTGGAAAAATATGGATCCAACCAACACCATTGGAGCACCTTGTACAGGTTTTTGGTGAATGCTTTAAGCAACACAGTGATAGCCAACTGGTGACTTTGCCAAGTAATGGGATTGCTATGAGGGACAATCTCAGTGATCTTATGGTTTAAATGGCAAACTATTTGAAATTGGCCTCGCCAATTCCTCAGTACCTGTGTCATGATTGTTCAACAGGGTAAGTAAGTGGACTGCTATAGTGTGACTTTTGTAGAAAATGAGATGGAACTGCACTTGATCCCCCAAAATAATCTGAGTCCCCAGTACCAAGAGACCAGTAGATTAGGAGAATAAAAATAGGGAGGTCCAGTCACCCAGATATCAGTGAAATAGGCAGTTTATTGAACTCACAGCCAAAGCAATGTTTCAACCAGGCTGGTCTTTGTCAAGCTTGACAAAGGCCAGTTTGGTCGAAACGTTGTTTTGGCTATGAGTTCAATAAACTGCCTATTTCACTGATATCTGGGTGACTGGACCTCCCTATTTTTATTCTACTAATCTACTGGTCTCTTGGTACTGGGGACTCAGTACCAACTGCCTATTTCACTGATATCTGGAGTGTCTGGACCTCTCTATTTTTGTTCTTTTATAGTGTGACTGTCAGCATTCCAAACTGTCCAAATTTTAATAAATAAATAAATAAGTGTTTGGGTTTTTTAGTAGGCAATTGGGGTAGATTTAAGTATTAGATTACAATAAATGCACAAGATGTTTACTAGTTGCTTTGTTAAAAGCAACATTTTATCTGGATTATTTACTAAGGAGAGAATTGTCAGAAATTCAAAGTGAATATCAAATGTAAGGGAAACATATCCATATTGGCAGCATATAGTCAGGGTTATTTATTAAAGTGAGAATTCAAAGTGAATTACATGTGAATTTCAGATCTAAAGACAAGTAAACCAAGCTGAATGTTTTCAGTTTGGCTAGTTTTACTTTGAATTTGAAATTCACTTAGAATAACCCTGAATAACCCTGTCTATGCATTAATTTTGATATTTGCATAATATGCAGAGTGGACATATGTAATTGTGTCATGTGACACAGCATGCAAGAAAAATGTACTGTCACACTTAAAGGACCACTATAGTGCCAGGAAAACATACTCGTTTTCCTGGCACTATAGTGCCCTGAGGATGCCCCCACCCTCAGGGACCCCCCCCCGCCGGGCTCTGGAGAGAGGAAGGGGTTAAACACTTACCTTTCTCCAGCGCCGGGCGGGGAGCTGTACTCCTCTTCTCCTCCTTGCTCGCGACGTCATCGGCTGAATGCGCATGCGCGTCAGGAGCCGCGCGCGCATTCAGCCGGTCGCATAGGAAAGCATTTACAATGCTTTCCTATGGACGCTTGCGTGCTCTCACTGTGATTTTCACAGTGAGAAGCACGCAAGCGCCTCTAGCGACTGTCAATGAGACAGCCACTAGAGGCTCTGGAGGCTGGATTAACCCTCAGTATAAACATAGCAGTTTCTCTGAAACTGCTATGTTTATAAAAAAAAGGGTTAATCCTAGCTGGACCTGGCACCCAGACCACTTCATAAAGCTGAAGTGGTCTGGGTGCCTAGAGTGGTCCTTTAATCAGACATTAGTTAGTGTATATATATTTGGGAGTCTAGCCAACTACTTGGTTTTCCACCCTTCCCTGTCACAGGTGCCTCATCCCAGGGCCGTATTTAGCCTTGTACTGCAGAGAGCCCCAGATGGAATTTTTTCCCCCAAATAATCTCATAAAAGCAGACATTTGGCTGTTAGAGTAGGACCTGCCAAAGATGGGGTACATTGACGTTGTGGCACCCTTATGCAATGTATGATCATATAATGTAACAAAACACTCATTATTTTTGCCTAGATTAGGCACTTAAAAAAAAAACCTTATACAATCTGTCAACATTGAAGTTGCTGTTTAGTGGATAAGTGAGTGTGCTGGATCTTGTGTATTGTGTGTGTGTGTGTGTATGTATATATATATGTATATATATATATATATATATATGAGATAGATATAGAGAGAGAAAGTTATGGACATGGAAAGGATCATGTTAGTGTTATTACAAATCATTAAGAGGTTGGCAGCCTTTGTTGATAAAAATAATAATAAAAAAAAATAATAATAATAAAATAATCTCCTGATAACCCCAGAGGTACCAGAGAAACTAAAGTCATCCTCACAAGTAGGGATGTACATGGGCAAAAAATTTGGTTTGGTTCGGACTTCCAAAACTCAGGACTTTGGCAATTTGGGACTTTGGCAATTCGGTTTGGTTTGGCACTTCCGAAATTCGGGACTTTGGCAATTCGACACTTTGGGAATTCGGCACTTTGGTTCGGTTTGGTTCGGCACTTCCGAAATTCGGGACTTCGGCAGTTCCCTACCCTTAACCCTAACTCTAACCTTACCCTAACCCTATCCAAACCCTAACCTAACCCTACCCCTACCCCAACCCTAACCCTACCCCAACCATAACCCTACCCCAACACCAACTAAGCCTACTCCTACCCCAATGCTAACCCTCCCCAACCCTAACTCTACCCTAACCCCAACCCTAACCTGACCCCAGCCCTAACCCTACCCTTAACCTAACCCTACCCCTAACCATACCCCAACCCTAACCCTACACCAACCCTACCCCAAACCTAACTCTACCCCAACCCTAACCCCACCCCAACCCTAAACCTACGCCCAACCCTACCCCTCTTCTAACTCTAACCCTAGTAGGGGTAGGGTTAGGGGTAGGGGTAGGGTTAGGGGAAGGTTTAGGGCTAGGGTTAGGGTTAGATTTCTGTCTTCATTCCCTTAACTTTCCCTCCCTCTCCTGTTTTGCCACTTTTCAGAAATCCGAAGCACTTCGGCACTTCCTAAATTCAGCACTTCGGCAATTCGGTTTGGCACTTCCGAAATTCGGCACTTTGGCAATTCGTCCAAATTTACATTCGGACCGAAACGAATTGCACATGTCTACTCACAAATTCATAGTAGTCTAGGTTATAAAAATAAAATTTTACAACATGACAGGAGGTTTAATATTTTGCAAATCTTTCTTTACTTAACTCTACAGAAGCAGAAACAGAAACAGAAAAAAAGATCCAGTCAGTAACAAGCAATGTATACATGAGGCACAGTGAACAACACTTTCTCTGGCAGGCACTGCCTTCATACTGGGCCTTATTTGTCTCTTTTGTGGCAGGCTCTGCTTACCCTATTACTGTTTTTCCCTTTTCACTGGAAGGCTCTGCCTGCCCCACACACTCTCACTTCTGTTTCAATGCACAGAAGTTCCTAGCAAGCTCCAGTGTATTTATTTCCCTTGGGTTGTGTTATGGTGGGTTAGGCCATGGTATTACCATGCTACATGTCAGCTGTTCAGCACTGGGCAGTCCTTGGCTCTTTGGAGCTCATTGGTGGTTTGCGGTGGCCATCTTGGATCTCGCATCTCACGAGATCCACAGTTGCCATTTAGGTGCAACCACGCAGTAGCGAGTGCCTTGATTAAGGATCTGATCGCTCCTTCTGCTCGATTCGCCAGCACATATACTATTTTGGAACAATACAGAGAAGATTAGCATGGATGACACGCAAAATCTTTAAATCAATTCTACTTGCCTGGGTATAGGGAATTAAAGGTCATATTTACCTTGAGTTTTTATTTGAGGTGTTGGTGCTGCTTTCTCTACTGGTTTACAGGGTTACTCCACCTTATTACATACCTGTTATTGTGATGCTGAATGGAGCCTGATGTTGCTGTCTCCTATACTTATTTTGACCTCCTTTGTTCTATGGCTTGTACTTACTGTGCCTGATTTTATACTGCCAAGCAACTAATAGGTATTGTCCCTTAGCAACTAATAGGTATTGTTGTGGTCTGTCTGCCTAAGTACTATTGCCTTTGTGGTACTTTGTACATTGGGAAAGCCCCAGTGGCCTGTGATTGTGATTGAACATGGAAGACCTCCGGGCCATGATCAATACAGCAGTGTTTTCCGTCAGCTCTGAAGCATGCCCACCAAGCATGCCCATTATAGGGCTAAATCCGATGACTCTGCCTCCTACCAGGGAGTGTTCACACCCACTAAACATCACTGGAAGGGTGAAGGGTTTCCACCATGAGGTCGGACTCCTCGTTTGTCAAATAACCTAACTGGGTGAGCCCCAGGTGCTGGAAGGTGGAGATGGTGCAGAAGGTGCCTTTTCAGGCAGGCAAGGAGGTAATTCTAGATACTACATGCCAACATTCGACCGATACAAAATGTTGAGAATCTGTCAGGCGGTGTCCCCTGCTCTGGGGATTGGACACCGCCTGACTGACTCTCAAAATTAATGGACTTGTGGTTAATGAAGTAATTGGAAGAGAAGGTCTGCAACCATTTGTAGTCATTGCCGGACAAAGTTGCTCTGGTGCCAAAACTTTACTTGCTGATGTTGGCTTTCATGGCTGAAATAGGTTTTAAAGGTGTACAGAAAAAGCTCCTGGATGCTCTTGGGCCCCTCGCACGGATAACGTGTTTGGTGGATGATGCCTATTCTTAAGCTGAGTCATTTTATGTGGGCATGACATTAGAGGGTCGGCACAAAAGTGCTTCTGTTTTCTGGGGAACACAATTGTAGCTATCTCTTCGGAGAGACACAAAGCAGCACACTTCTGCATTGACAGAAACCTGGCAGACTTAGGAGCTAAAGAAGTCAGCTCTCAGGCTCAGGGTACGTTCTTTGGGGAAGCCTTCATGAAGCTCAATAAACATGTGAATGTTTTCACGTCTTTGAACAAGGTGCAATCTTCCACGAAAAAAGTCTTTAGGGGTACACTTGATCAAGTTTGAGAATGGCCCTGTACAGTGGCAACTGCCGACCTGATCTGTTTTGCATCGACCGACACCACTCTTTTCAATCAGGAGCTTCAGGAATTGTGGCTAAAGTGTGCCATCCAACCTACTTCGGGAGACAGAGCATTCTTCAGTAATATGTTCTTGGTCTGGAGGAGAATGGGAGATTTTCAACCGGCGTTCAACCAGTGGGATCTCAACACTCACATTGTTTACCATCACTTCAAAATTGAGGGAATATACCTCTTGCAGGATCTGCTTCAAGAAGGAGACTGGCTTACACGCCTGGAGTTAAAGGATGCCTATCTCTCCGTACCTACTCTCGTCAACAGCTGTCCATTCCTTCAGATCTTATGCCAGGGGGGCCTTGACAGTCCACTTGTTTCCCCTTCAGACTCAGCTCGGCTCCTTGATGCTCAAAGATCCTGAAACCTAATTTAAATCCCCCGTGGTCCGCTGCACTGGGAGAGGCAAATAGTGGACCCCAGGGAAAGTCACCCTCCTTTACCTAAAAGGTAGGAAGCAGGAGGGTGACTTAAACATTTTGTGTGTGTGTGTGTGTGTTTGTTTGTATGTGTGTGTGTCTGTCTGTATGTGTCTGTCTGTATGTGTTTGTGTGTGTTTGTGTCTGTATGCATGTGTGTATATGTATTTGTGTGCCTGTCTGTTTATATGTTTTTGTATGTGTGTGTATTGTTTGTATGTGTGTATGTATGTGTGTGTATGTCTGTCTGTATGTGTCTGTCTGTATGTATGTATGTGTGTGTATTGTGTGTGTGTGTGTCTGTAGGCATGTATATGTATTTGTGTGCCTGTCTGTTTATATGTTTTTGTATGTGTGTGTATTGTGTGTGTGTGTCTTGTGTGTGTGTCTGTCTGTATGTAGGTCTGTCTGTGTGTCTGCATGTATGTATGTATGTGTGCCTGTCTGTTTGTATGTATGTGTCTTTGTATGTCTATGTGCCTGTCTGTGTCTGTGTGTGTGTTGGTCTGCATGTATGTCTGTGTGTCTGTCTGTATGTATGTATGTGTGCCTCTCTGTTTGTATGTATGTGTGTCTATGTGTGTGTATGTGTGTCTCTATGTATGTATGTGTGTGTGTGTGTGTCTGTGGGGGAAGTGTGGGGAAGGGAGAGGTGGGGGGAAGAGGGATGGGGGCCCACGGATCAGTTTTGCACCAGGGCCCCATGGATTGTGTGTACGCCACTGACTATTGGCATCAACTTTCTTAAAAAAGGTTCGAGTTTTGATATGGCAATCCTCGATACATAGTTCTTGATCTAAAAAATGTTCCTTGGCTTTACTACACTCATATGTAAGCACAATATTCCTATGATTCTGATTTTAAAAAGTAAAAAAATCATCAAGTAAAACCCTGTCTCCCTTCCAAATAAAAAATATGTCATCAATGTATCTGTGATAGTGAACCAGATTCGCACTCCAGATCTGCTCTCCTGAGAGGAAAGATTCCTCACAGTGGGACATAAAAAGATTGGCATAGCTGGGTGCAAACCTGGTCCCCAACGCATTACCGACCAACTGTAAAAAATAAGACCCCTCAAACCAAAAATAGTTATGACCTAAAATGAACTTAATGGCTTCCAAGATAAAATCCAATTGACTATCCAAAAATCCGTTACGTTGAAGAAAATATTCTACCGACTCACAGCATAAATTGTGAGAAATAATAGTATATAGGCTGCTTACGTCACAGGTTACTAAAAAACAATCTCCCCCCCACAGGACCTCTAATAATTATTTAATCAGCTGGATAGAGTCCTTTAGATAGGTGGGCTGAAACACAACCAAAGGTTGAAGTAACTGTAACGGACCGTTTTGCCCACAAGAGGTTAAAAACCGTTTAGGCGATATTCCCCTTTCTCAGCTGCACAGACAGCTACTGCAAGCACCAATCTCCCGAACTGGAAACCCACGAATTCACCAACTCCCGAACTGCAAACACACGAACACAGGAAACAGCCGAACTGGAGACACACGAATAGCTGTTAGCAGACGAACAGGAAAAGCCCCCAAGCGGCTTACACTCCTGGCAATCAGTCTCTAACAGCATACAGTAATTCCCCCCAAAGACGAGACGACACTTCGTTTTGAGGGTCAAGCAGAATCTGGTTTACTGGGGCTAACTGCCTGGCTTTTATGCAGGTCTCCCACCTGGTGGACACTCCCCTAGGGGACCAAATGGGAAACTGGGAAACGTATTGGCTCTTAGCCAATCACATACATACACCTTTAAACACTCCCACAATTACATCACAATCCCTCCTCTCTGTCCTGGAGATAATTGGGAAGAAATCCAATTATCTCCCAGGACAGAGGCAAAACTCCATTAACCACATGGCAGTAACAATACAGTAAAAGACATAAAATTACATACAGCCACATTTATTACCTAAAACATATACATTCTACATATCCCCAGATAGCTTAGATCTGAGCGCACATTACTACCGAATGGCGCTCAGATCACATACATACAGTTCAATCGCCATGGAGCCAAAGTCTTTCTCATAGTCTTTCGTTACACGAATAGGCTCCATGGCTTAGCTATCTGTGGGATGCTGTTCATCCGGCGAAACTACTGAATGAACAGTCATTCGGTTCTGCTTACCGAATGGGAAGGTAAGGAGGCTGGCGGCTCAGCGGTGTTCGCGCCAATAAGTGTCCGTTTTCAGTTCCATAGTTTGGGCGCTGAACCCCGCTGGCCTTTCGGGAGGTAAAATGGCCGCTGCCACGTGTTCGGCAGATGAACAAAGGCCACCCAGCGTTCATCAATTAAGCTGCGGTTAACCGCAGCTTCTGGGCGGTCAATTGACGGCACACTCCAGCTCCCAGGTGGTCCATCGTTCGGTAGTTTGTTCGGTAGATGGAATCTACCGAACACCCTGGCAGAAAGGCACGAATAAACCTTTCAGCAGGGAAAATAACAGCTCTGAACTGCTGGGCCATAATCTAAAGGGAGCAGGAGAGCAACCAGGCTTCTCCAATGCACAGTGGCGAGGTTGGTTCCGCCACAGTAACCTATCAATATACTGTGATAAACGACTAATTAAGGAGTCTACACCAGCTACTATGGGTCTCCCGAGGGGATTCTTGGGGTCCTTGTGTATAAAAAACAGGGGTCTTAAAAACAGATATATTAAGAAAACTATATTCATCAGAATTAAAAAAAAACATTTATTTTTACCCCTCTCTATCAGAATTCTATAGTTCTCTAAAAAGATGCTAGAGGGGTCTTTACCTAACTTTTTTTTTTTTAATTCTTTATTTTTGAAAGTGCAAGTTTAAACACAAAAGCAGGCAGTGTCACAACAACAGCTGCGTGCACAGTAAATGAAGACATAGTGAAACAGTGGTGTGACAGACTGTAGCAGGTAGTAGCACAATTTTACAATTTATCTTGAGTATTACAGGAGCTAGAAGTGGATATATAACAGGTTAGAATATATTGGGTTGTGTAACCTTGCCTGTGCCGCTTCTTGGTGGCCTATGAGGCCGTGTTGTCAACTGCCCCTGTCCTCCTTAGCTTGGGGTAGGGTTGGGGACAAGCTCTAGGGACGTGTGCGCTATAGCGGCTTGAGGCAATAGTGGTATGTGACATGGTTTTATGGCTCCTTGACCCCGGAGTCTGGGGGGGGGAGGTATGCCATCCACCAGGCTGATGTGTGTAGTATTGGTGCCATGGGCTTAATGACACTATAAGTATAATGGCTTATTAACGTTAAGATATCTGTCTGCACGATAAGATAATAAGTTGTTAATACT